GGGCCGGGACCGGAAGCGGCGCCGCACGGCCGGGCCCTGGCGCGGGGGGCGGGCACGGGGGCCCGGTCCGACATGGGCAAGAAGCACAAGAAGCACAAGTCGGACGAACACCTCTCCGAAGGTGAGGAGTGGGCCGTGGCGGCGGGCCGGCGGACCTGCGGCGGGCTCGGTGGGGTTTTTGTTCTTTCGAAATTACCCTCGAGCGCCCGGGGTGGACCGGGGCCGCTCCTTACACCGCAGGCCCGCTTTGCGGAGGGGGCGCGGCCGGCCCGAGGCCGCGCAGACCCCAGGGGGGGCGGGATTCGAACTCGGGTCCACCGGGCCACGGCAGGGTCTCTGGTTGGGAGGTGTGGGACGGCCCGGAGAGGCCCTGGAGCGTTTGGCGTGGGCCATGCCGCCGCGGCCACTTGGCAAGTGTCGGTCATTCAACAGGTGCACTGTAGGGCGCCCGCTGCGTCCTTTGCGCCACCTGCCCTCCCTGCTCCCCGTCACTGTGCCTTATTGATGCCGCCGGGCGAGCCCCTGCTTTAATCGAGGCCCGTTCCTTTTGTTTAAGAGTACGTAGAGAAGCCCTTGAAGCTGGTCCTCAAAGTGGCAGGGAACGAGGTCGCCGAGCTCTCCACGGGCAGCTCGGGGCACGACTCAAGCCTCTTGGAAGACAAAAACGATCATGACAAACACAAGGACAGAAAGCGGAGAAAGAGAAAGAAAGGAGAGAAACAGGTTCCCGGGGAAGAAAAGGGCAGAAAACGGAGACGAGTGAAGGTAAAGATTGTTGCATTACTTCAGCTTTGGATGGCAGCGCTTTCTGAAAGGACCATCACCCAGCTACCAAACTGACTTTATTTTCTTTGTGTCCAGTGAGATGCTGAAACACCTGTAAAATCTGACTTGTTTTGAGGAGGAGCAAGGTGGGGTAGAAACGTGATTCAGCTATGAGTTTCAGCACATCTTTGTTTAATACTTTTGGGCAATTGTAGTCACACACCAGGTGAGTATGTGGCTAAGTCCTGATTTTCAGAAGCTGCTTCAAAGAATGCTTTTTCCGCTTAAGAAGGGTGGAGGTTATGTTCAGGAAAACCTGTGTTGCAGGTTTGTCAAAAACAGCAGTTTCAAAAAGAAATGGGATCTGTTGGAGTTCAAATCTTGTTCCGAAGTAATTACTATAATGCCATATATATTGTTGTTGTTAGGTGCCATGGAGTCTGTTCAGACTCGTAGCGACCCTGTGTACAACGGAACGAAACACTGCCTGGTCCTGCATTGTCTTCACAGTCGTTGCTATGTTTAAGTTTATTGTTGCAGCCACTGTGCCAGTCCATCTCATCGTGGGTCTTCCTCTTTTTCGCTGATCCTCTACCAAGCATAATGTCCTTTTCCAGGGAGTGATCCCTCCTGATGACGTGTCCAAAGTACAGGAGGCAGCATCTCAGATTCTCGCTTCCAAGGAGCACTATGGCTGTACTTTTTCCAAGACATTCTTCTGGCAGTCCATGCTATATTCAGTATTCTTCACCAACACTGTAATTCAAAGGCATCCGTTCTTCTTCAGTCTTCCTTATTCATTGTCTAGCTTTTACATGCATATGAAGTGATTGAAAATACCATGGCTTGGGTCAGGCATACCTTAGTTTTCAAAGTGACGTCTTTGCTTTTTAAGAGGTCTTTTGCAGCACGTTTGTCCAGTGCAGTACGTCCTTTGATTTCTTGAATGCTGGTCCATGGGGGTTGGTTGTGGATCCAAGTAAAATGAAATCCTTGACAACTTCAGTATTTTCTCTGTTTATAATGATGTTGCTTATTGATGCAGTTGGGAGATTTTTTGTTTTCTTTATGTTGAGGTGTAATCCATAGTGAAGACTGTAGCCTTTGATCTTCATCCGTAAGTGCTTCAAGTCCTCTTTGCTTTCAGCAGGCAAGGTTGTGTCATCTTTGTATCACAGGTTGTTAAGGAGTCCTCCTCCAATCCTGGTGCCATGTTCTTCTTCATATAATCCAGCTTCTTGGATTTTTGCTCAGCGTACAGACTGAATAAGTATGGTAGAAGGATACAGTCCTAAAGCACACCTTTCCTAATTTTTAACCACACAGTATTCCCTTGTTCTGTTTGAACAACTGCCTCTTCGTCTGTGTACAGGTTCCGCATGAGCACAGTTAAGTGTTTTGGAATTCCCCTTCTTTGCAGTGTTATCCATAATTTGTTATGATCAACACAGTTGAAAACCTTTGCATAGTCCATAAAACACAGATAAACGTCTTTCTGGTATTCTGTGCTTTCAGCCAAGATCCATCTGCCCTCAGCAGTGATATCCCTCGTTCCACATCCTCTTCTGAATCTGGCTTGAATTTCTGGCAGTTCCCTGTCAGCAAAATTTTACTTGTGTGTGATGTTAATGATTTTGTTCGATAATTTCCTCATTCTTTTGGATCACCTTTCTTTTGAATGGGCACAAATATGAGTCTCTTCCAGACAGTTAAGGAGCCCTGGTGATGCAGTGGTTAAAGCGCTCAGTCACTAACTGAAAGGTTGGCTTTTGGAACCCACCAGCTGCTCTGAGGGAAAAAGATATGGCAGTTTGCTTCCGTAAAGATTACAACCTTAGAAACCCTATGGGGCAGTTCTGCTGTGTTCCATAGGTTCGCTGAGTCAGAATTGACTCGATGGCAGTGGGTTTGGTCCAGTCAGTAGGCCAGGTTGCTGTCTTCCAAATTTCTTGGCATAGACGAGTGAGCATCTCCAGTGCTGCGTCCGTTTGTTGAAACATCTCAAGTGGTATTCCGTCAATTCCTGGAGTCTTGTTTTTTGCCAATGCTTCAGTGCAGCTTGGACTTCTTCCTTCACTACCATCAGTACTTGATCATATGCTACCTCCTGAAATGGTTGAACGTTGACTGGTTTTTTTTTGGTACGGTGACTATGCAGTCTATCTTTTTTTTTTTTTTTTTTTAATTGTTGTAGTTTAAATGAAGTTTACATTTCAAGTTAGTCTCCCATACAAAAATTTATACATACATTGTTATGTGACCCTAATTGCTCTCCCCATATTGTGACAGCGCACTCCTCCTTTCCACCCCTGATTCCCCATGTCCATTCAGCCAGCTCCTAACCCTCTCTGCCTTCCCATCTCACCTCTGGACAGAAGCTGCCCGTTTAGTCTCTTGTATCTAGTTGAGCTAAGAGGCACAATCCTCACGAGTATCACTTTATGTCCCACAGTTCAGTCCAATCCCTGTCTGAAGAGTTGGCCTCAGAAATTGTTTTAGTTCTGGGCTGATAGAGAATCCAGGGGCCATGCTTTCTGGGGTTCCTCCAGTCTCAGTCAGACCATTAAGTCTGTTCTTCTTACTAGAATTTGAGTTCTGCACCCCACCTTTCTCCTGCTCCATTCAGGAGAGTTCTGTTGTGTTCCCTGTCAGGGCGGCCATTGGTGGTAGCCAGGCTTTATATAAATGCCCTTAATTATATTGAGGAATTTCCCTTCTGTTCTGTTTTGCTGAGCATTTTTATCATGAATGGGTGTAGGACTTTGTCAAATGCCTTTTCTGAATCCACTGATAAGATCATGTGTTTTTTGTCTTTTGTTTTATGTATGTGATGGATTATATTGACTGTTTTTCTAATGTTCAACCATCCCTGCATACCTGGTATAAATCACACTTGATCGTGGTGAATTATTTTTTTGATATGTCACTGAATTCTGTTGACTAGAATTTTGTTGAGGATTTTTGCGTCAGTGTTCATGAGGGATATTGGTCTGTAATTTTCTTTTTTTGTGGCGTCTCTACCTGGTTTTGGTATCAGGGTTACGCTGACTTCATAGAATGAGTTTGGGAGTATTCCATCCTTTTCTAGGCTCTGAAATACCTTTAGTAGTAGTGGTGTTAACTCTTCTCTGAAAGTTTGGTAGAATTCTCCAGTGAAGCCATGCAGGCCAGGGCTTTTTTTTGTTGTTGGGAGTTTTTTAATTATCTTTTCAATCTCTTCTTTTGTTATGGGTGTATTTAGTTGTTCTTCATCTGTTTGTGTTAGTTTAGGTAGGTAGTGAGTTTCTAGAAATTTGTCCAATTCCTCTAGGTTTTTAAATTTGTTAGTGTACAATTTTTGATAGCATTCTGTTACGATTCTTTTAATTTCAGTTGGGTCTGTTGTGATATCACCCATCTCATTTCTTATACGGGTTGTCTACTTCCTCTCCTGTTTTTCTTTTGTCAGTTTGGCCAGTGGTTTATCAATTTTGTTGATCTTTTCAGAGAACCAGCTTTTGGTCTTGTTAACTCTTTCAATTGTTTTTCTGCTGTCTGTTTCATTTAATTCTGCTCTAATTCTTATTATTTCCTTTCTTCTGGCACCTGAGGGCTTCTTTTGCTGCACTCTTTCTACTTGTTCTACTTGTAGGGTTAATGTTTCGATTATGGCCCTTTCTTTTTGGATGTGTGCATTTATTGCTCTAAACTGACCTCTGAGCCCTGCTTTTGCTGTGTCCCAAAGGTTCTGTTAGGATGTGTTTTCATTTTCGTTTGATTCTATGAATTTCTTCATTCCATCCTTAATTTCTTCTCTAACCCAGTATTTTTTGAGCAAGGTGTTGTTCAGTTTCCATGTGTTTGATTTTTTTCCCTTGCTTTTTCTGTTTTTGATTTCTACTTTTATGGCTTTATGGTCAGAA